TTTTCCCCTTCCGATTCTCCCCCCCATCCCACTGGGGCAGGGGAGTGAGCGAGCGGCTGTGTGGTGCTCAGTTGCCAGCTGGGCAACCCATCCATGGCACTGGGCTCTTAAATCATGCTGAGGACGGTGCCCTGACAGAGCAGAGCTTCAGTTGCCACATGCAGCTGTGCAAAAGCCAGGTAAACCTAACTACAGCAGTTTCCACAAGGTACGGCTCACTGTGGGGAGGCCACCGGAGGAACCAGGCAGGGCCCTGCCTCAGGAGGGCTGTTTTCAGGGTAGGACCCTGTCCCCAAACCCCTTGGCTCTAGTTATACCTGAAAATTACAGGATGAAACCGAGTCCAAATGAATCATCATGCAGGGCTTGGGAATCCCTCCTACAGCAGTCCCGGTCTGTAACATTTGGTTTGGTGAAGTTTTTCCAAGATGTTTCTCTCTTAACAGACTTATTTTCCTAATTTTACTTGCCAGCACAGTTTTATCCAATTCTTCCCTTCCCAGAAACCATGATAGAGATTACAAAATTTGGAAACCAATTCATAATATACATATATAATTTAATTATTATTTATTCCTTAGTTCAAATATCCTCAAAATAAATGGATTAATGCAGAGATCATGCTTAGCATAAGAACAATACCTTTTGGAGTACATTATCCAGAATATTTTTTTTTCAAATTATTTCCTCTCCATCATATTAGTCTTCAATACGCAGAATCTTAAATGAAGTGAAATAACTTTTGCACTGTTCTGAGAGCAAATGCACTCCTGCCGACTCTATCATGCCTGTCCTAACCAAAGGTGCATTCCTAAGATTTTGCACTTCAGAATTCATGGTAATATGTGAAAGCCTCAACTTTCATCAAAAACACCCTTCACTTTTATAAAAAGCAAAACCAAGCCCTCAAGGTTTTAGAAAACAATTTGAATTCATGACCTAAGCATATACCAAAAAACACCCTTAAAATTCAAGTAGTGCATATAAGAATGCAAAATACAAAATGTATCGATAAAAGGCACTCTTATAATTCAGCGTGTGGAAAAAAAACCCGACAACACAAAACACAACAAAAACCTTCAGGAGAAAAACTGAATTTGAATCATAAGAGAAAATTAACTTGCTTGCACTTCGGCCACAGAAAAGTTTTGGCATTGAAAAATTACTAATTTTCTCAGTACTTACTGCATGAAGAAAAAAAACACCCCAGAGAAGAGAGGAGGAATTAATTGTACTTAAAGTAGGGATGGCCTGCAGGGATAGCCCGTTTTAATGAGAAAGGCCAAAGGGATGCTGGAACAAAGAACCCAAACCAAAAAGCTTTTCTCGGCGTCTCCCGTGCCCCAGTTTTCAATAAATCCTGCTGCATGTGTCTGTTCTGTCCTGCTACAGCAAGTGCTGGGAAAATGAAATAACCCAGCGACAAAGGCGATTTTCAACGTCACCAAAAATGGAGAGTAAAGGACAAAACAAGACTTGCTCTTTATGAGCCAGCTTTCCCAATTGATGCTGCCTGGGAGTTTCAGGTAGATGCTCTCCGATGGGGACAGGGAATGAAAGCTCAAACCTCCCACAACTTAGACACGACTTTCTATGGAAAGCAATGTGTAAATAGTATCCATTTGCTTAATTTCATTTCTGTTATTAGCACATACAAATAGCTGCAGTGGATTAGATCCATGACCCATCTAATCCAAGATCCTGTCTCAAGCTGTGGTCTGTAACTGATGCCCAGGAAAAGTGTGCACAGAGCAGGGCAAGTGGGCAATGACACCCAGTTTATCCTCCCAGCTCCAGTGTACACTGGTTAAGGGACTTCCAAAACTGGAGACTACATCAAAACCATCATGTTCGATAATCTCTGATAAACCTCACTGCATGGGTTAGACAAGCAGTCTTTCATGAATCCCTGTCCAATTATGAACCATCATGATATATTTTCCTACTGTAAAAACAGTTAAGCAAAACTCCTTGGACAGAAATATCAGGCAAGTTTGAGATTAAATAAGCTTGGGAAAATTCAGTCTGCATACATGCATTTTGATGTATTTATTTTTTGAGTGTATCTCTGCTAAACCCCACAGTCTTTAATCAAAATTCCCACTGAAGTGAGTAGCGAAAGGCAAGTTGCTGCCAAAGTTCATAGTGAGAGCCATGGGATGAGAAACAAAGTTCTGTCAAAAATAAGAAATTGTCAAGGAGAGGGAGCAGGAGGAGCGGATCGGTTCTCAGCACGACAATCTCAGGCTGCCTTGAAGTCGAGGGAGCTCAAAGAGCCACTTAAGCCGGTGCTCAGGATTCTGCTGGACTAGGGCCTGAACAGTTATTTATACTCTTATCACACAGAAACGTGAATTCCATTGGAAAGGGAAAAAAATAAAAAAGGGGGAAAAAGGACAGTAGCACGTACTGTCGCAGACTCACAGAAGTACCATAGACATCTTTGTTCTGCAGATTTCACAGGGAGAATTTAAACAGGCGAGGGACGCATTGGATTTTCACTTAATGATTTAAAATGGTGGTATTTAGCTACATGCATAACTCATGCACTTGTGCAAAGTCCAAAACCAGCCAGTCTGTACAGACACACCACCAAAGTAGCAACCCCAAAATGTCTGAAACCCCAGACCAGCACCCTGAGCCATGCTCGTGTGCCTATGCCACAGCAAGGTTTGTATTCCCACAGTCGCTGCCATCAGTACCTGGGCTTGCAAGTTCAAAGGCACTTCAACCACCTCCTACACCTGCGGCCACAAACACACCATGGTGTGAACATAACCCAAGCAGCCCACAAGTTGGGCTGGGAAGGGAACAAACACAACAGTGTGAAAAGCGTTAACAGCTTCACATTTCTATAATCGGATGGAAAGCAAAGGAGTGCAGCCTGCCCACAGCCCTGCTGGACCCAGACCCATCTCCTACACCAACTCACTGCATTTTAGAAGCAGGTTTAGACAAACAAAAGCCTTTCTGCTTCAAAGGGAAAGATGAAATCTTCCTGCAGGACCAGAGACAAAATCCTGAAGCGTTCAAACCACTTTACTTCCAATCATGATAACTGCGTAGAACAGAAAAATTCATGCTGTACCTGCTCCAAAGGCAAAGAAGAAGCTCTTGTCTGTGTTCTCCCTTAAAAGCGCCATCACTCTTTTCCCCATCCTCTCATTCCTCTTGTAGATGAGCTCCTGTCTGAAGTAGCTGTCTATCTCCTGAGCCGTCACCTGCTCATGGGGTGGGAGCGTTGTGTTGATGAAGTTAGGGACCTGAAATGGGGAGAGGGGGAGAGAGAGACTGTAGTTCAGGTGACAGTGGTTAAGTAATCCCCAAAACACTGGATGTTTTAATCTAGCCTTATTTAAACCACTTGAGCATCACTCAAAAAAACCCCCAACAACAACACACCAGGGGATATGAGCTTGTGAGGTTGCTGGGAACTCTACAAAGAAAAACCCAATCACCAACCAATAGACTTTTTTTTTTTAAAGTAAAACTAGTATTTTACTAAATGAAACTTAAGTTCATTTTTACTTTTCTCTGTCCCTTCAGCAGAATGTATTTTTAGGTGTTACATTTGGGTGAGTTACTAGAACCTTTATTCTCTGCTTGTTTAACACAGTTCATTGGCTATTTAATACCAGAACAAGTCCTGTAATCTGTTCTCAGCCAAGGTCACCATGAACTTGAGTAAGGACTGCAAGATTTGGCTTGTATATGCTCCTTTTTAATAACCTAATAGTTAAAAGAGTAGGAAAAGTTAGCAAATCCAGACATAGGAAGATGTAAACAGTATAAACCCCCACATCTTTCTTGCAGCTTTAGATGCTATTAGGTGTCACCAGAGAAGACCATGCGTTGCGACACATAAATCCCTGGAACATTCCTGGTATTTCCAAGGAAGGGATTTCCACAAGAACTGCTCCTTAAGTCCTTGTTTTTGTGAGGAGATATGTTCATAGGCACAGAAGAAAGGTTGAAACCCCAAGGACCGTTTGAGTCAGGGCAGCAGACCCAGGAATGAGCCAAGACCCAAGCTATAATGGACAGACAAGCCAGAAGTCTCTGATTATTAGCACAGGTAACTTGTTTTTGACATGGTGAGGGTCCAAGGTCTACCATGAGAGTTCAGGAGTTTACGGGCCCTGCAGTGAGAAGTGCTGTAAATGGGCAGTGTTTGATGACTGCTAATAGAACCCAGGCACCTTCCGGCAATTTTCTGTGCCTCACCACTGGAAAGCAGCTTAAGCTGCAAAACCCAGATTCAGATTTCTGAGTCCCCGGGCACATGTAAAACTGCCAGGATTTCCAGTGTTAATCTGCATCGGTGGTAATTATATTGCATGCACAGCCCATAAGGGGAACATCCCTCACTCACTGTGCTCAAATACTTGATGCAAGGACTCTGTTACTTTGGTTAATTCTTTCTCTAGTTTTCTACTACATCAAATTCCTGTACTCATTTTCTAAAACTTGGCTTTAGTCTTTGTTTTTCAGCCCACTTCTTACCTTCCTACTTGGCCACATGCTTTTATCACAACAATTTTTGTCTCTTCCCACCCTCTTCACTCATACTGCCTCTCCAAAAGCTTTCAAGAAGTCTTATGGAAAGAACTAATTTCCATCTTCAGAGTGGCTCTTCTTAAAGCTTTTTCATTGCAGCCTCATCCACAGCTCTCCTAGCATGTGGGTGACCAAGCGGCAGAGATTTCTCACCATGTATCATGCAGAAGGACGAGTCTAGGCCTTGCTCTGGATTCCCACCAAAGGCTGTACCCAGCTGGGTGAGACACAAATGGGCACCACATCTCCTGAGCCGGGGAATCCCATGTGGCTGGAGTTAATACTGCTGCTGACAGCAACCTGCCCCAGCCTATTGGGCCATGTGGACCAGCTGGACCTTTGATTTTCCAAATTACTTCTCAACCTGCTTTGCCAAATCACCGTACTTCTGACAGCACGTCCCTCCTTAAGGGTTCAATTGCATTACCCTGAGTCATTCCTTCCTCCAGGCTTTCCAGCATGGCTTGGCTTTGCCAGCGTATCTTGTGAACTCCTCAGAACATGCAAGTACTTTGCAGCTTGTTCTCAGTTTAGCCCTTTGCCAGCACTCAACAAATAATAAGTCCCATTAAGCCAGACCTATCAGACACACCAGTTTTCTGTTAATACACAAGGAAGCTGCCTCGATGTCTGGCAAGAACGTGCATTTGTCTCAAAGGGATGCAGGAGCAGCCTGCCGGCATTGGAGGGGTAAAACGCTGCTGACTACGTCAGCAAAGGATGTAGTGGCTTCATTCCTGGTGAAAGGCAGGGAGAGATTTTTATTGTAGGAATAAAGTCTGAGGAATGAGTAACCATTTTACACTTGCAACAACCTCTGCAACGCAAAGCTGTAAATCAGTTGGTCCATGCAGATATCACAAGGCTCTGTATCTCCTCTGCACTGAGGCTCTGTGTTTAATGGGTTGATGTAGCTGAGCCAGGAGTCAGGGGAGCCTTCAGAGACTGAAACGGAAGGTGAAATTTTTTGGGAACATCTGAAGTCTCAACACTCACATAAGAGAATTCTCTTCTTCCCTGCTTTTGGCTGAAGGGAAGTGAAGGCTGGGAACTGATGGGACCTGGTCTCGAATCACCTGAGATGCTTTGGGGAAAGCAAGGTACGGCATTGCCTCTGAGGACAACCTGCTTTTACACAAAGCAGGAGCAGCAATGCTGGGGGATCGAATGGCTTTGTGCATCCCACTTCAACCAGGAGAAAGCTCTGATGTTGGAGGTCTAGGTAGCCCAAGGACAGAAGTTGTGTTCAGACCGTGACCACGAGGGTCTTTGCCAAGAAGGAAAGCACCTTCCTTCAGCTTGTGCAACTTCATCGCTTGCAATCCTACATCCACATTCAACCTACAGTTTGTTCCTCCTCTTTATCTAACCTAAAATACAGTCCACAAAATGGAGCCATTTACTTGCCTTTTTTTCCCCCTCCCTTTCTTTCTCTGCTGCAGGAAAGACTGTGCCAATGGTAGAGAGATAAATTTAAAACCAAGGACTGGGTTTTGTCAACATTTCTCATGCTGGCCCAAGGAACAAGACAAAGGAAGGCATCACCTATAGAGGCACATCATCAACTACAGGTCCCGCTGCACCTTGTGCATTCCTGTATTTCTAATGACTGCTCCATCACTGGCAAAAATGAAACATGCACGTATGTTTCTGCATGTGTTTGGCAGAGGACAGAAGATAAATGATTGAAGTAAGTATGCCCGTACGCAGTAGTGCAACCACACTCTGAGCTACGACACTGGTCCCATTAATCACCTCCGCTCCTCCCTGTGTCACAGTTCCTTTCTACAGTCGGTGACATACACCATGCCTAGCTTCAAGGAGGCAGCTGCTCCTGTTGATTTAAGAAACTCTTTGGATTCCTAACCGCCAGACAGGGATCAGGAAGTCAAGAAACAGTCACATGCAATTAGAAAGCTGTTAACTGCAGCCAGAATTTAAGGGGATTTTTTCTGAAAAAACAAAATCTCTTGTTTTAAAAAGATGGGCTAAAGAATGCACCAGAGGGCTGCACCTTCCCTCTTCCACTTTATCAAATATTTTTGTTTCCATTCAGTGTAAAAATTAATTTCAACATTTTAATGATACGTATTTGTTGTTTTGAACTGAGAGTGAATGGATGAGACATTTCCTGTGCCAAAGGGTGAGGGACTGACCTCCTGATAATAGCTGAATGCCACTACTAGTATTTAAATGTATATGGGGTGGATGATGTGACTGTTGAAAAATCCTAACTTCTAATTTTGCTATTCATCTAGGAGAGTAGCAGCTGGATCAGCAGAAAAACACAGTGCTACCCATCACCTGGGGTGTGCTCACTTTGTAGTGGATACATGACAAGAGAGAAATAGACTTTTTCTGTCCAGTCTCTGCAAGCCATGCAGTTTTCTGAGAATCCAACCAACTCATATATATATATATATATAAATAAAAAAACCCACACACACTACATATTTCCCATGGAAACTCAATAATATATTTCATTCAGAGGTGTTCAAAAGAAAGAATATTTTGTTTGACTGAATCAGCTAGAACTCCTCTTTTTTTCTATTCCTATTTACTTTGGGTTACAGCTCTCCTATGGACAGTACAGATGGAGCCCAAACTCAGTCATTAGGTACACCCTGCATTTCTTAGTTAAGCTTTTGAGGTTAAAGGAAGAGAATATGAGAACAAAAAAAGAAGTTAAGTCTCAGCCTTGCAGAAATTTCTTCCCCTCCACACCGCCTGTGTAATTTTACTTGAGTCAGTACCCCTGATGGAATATATGTGTGGGTAAAGCTCTGCACACACATCCGAACTCACAGTGCTGTGGGATGCAGGCCATAATTCTTCACCTTTGAAGTCAGTGGGAGCTTTAGGAAGAAGAAAGAGGAAGGATTGTGGAGTGGTTATGACACTACCCTGAAAAAATGGTTCTGTTCCCATGGGCGATACAAATCTCTTGCATGATCACAAGCATGTCATTTGGGTTTAGACCTTCAAAGGAAACTCAGCACTTAACCTCCACTAAGTATCTTTGAAGCATTTGGCTTTATTCCTCCTGTCTCTCAAAAGTCCATCTGTAAAATGGGGACAGCAAGACTTTCCGACTTGAAGTTACATACAAGGCACTGGCTGAATCTAGCTGTTGAAGGACCCAAAGGAAGATCCAAAGTCCAAGATGACGCTCAGCGGTAACCTCTCTTCCCACAAATACTTTGTGGAAGGAGGTTGGGATTCTGCTGCAATCATTAACATAAGAGCTAACAATACACTTTAGCCTAGAAAAATGCATCAGCCATATCTCAAGATCTCTGCTATGCTGTCAGCTTTGTCTATAGAGACAAGGAGAAAGAAATGGGGAAAAAAAAAAAGCAAAATATATTGGTGCAGTGTCTTTTATTTAGGGCTGCCAAAGTTCAGCTGAAAATTCAGAAACACCAGACTACATTTAAGTACATTTTCTTATTTACTGTTTTTTAACATTTGGACAAATATTCTGGGCAGAGGCATGATGCCAGAGTTGTGAATATCTATGTGCAAATAATTTTTTTGGACACATATAAGCACCATCAACTTTGGTTAGCATTTTTTTTCCCTGCTTTGGATCTATTGGCTACAGTGGAACTGCTCTAGATTCAGTCCAGTATCAAATCATAATCAGATGTGGAGGAATAGTGTTATCATTCCTACTCCTATACACTACATTTCCCAATCCTCTGAT